ATTTGTAGTAACCAGACTTCTGTCTTTGGAAGCTGGATCAGTACTCTGGGTATGTACAAAAGAGCATATAAAGCACATCATTGCAGTATTGTATCACCCTGTATCAATTACTCGTTGTTTAGGGCTGGTGCAGACCTGGGCGATCCGGGCCGCGCGTCCTGGGACCGCAGGATCGTGCACAATTACACATCGCGATTGCCGCGCGACCCCATTGATTTCAATGGGGTTATATCTGCACGGCAATCGCAGAAAAAAAGATACCTCTATCTTTTTTCGCGACGCATGATGCACGGCTGTTTTAGCCGCAATCGTGTTCAGTTGCACGGGCGGAATCATGGTGGGAAACCATGCGAACCGCCTGGCGCGACTCGGGTGCCATTAGAAAATAATGGCACCACCAGCGTGATCGGCGGTGGTGGGCGCTTCCGTGACCGCACGGCAATCCACACGTTATCGTACGCAATTGCCGCGCATTCACGGATAGCCCAGGTGTGAACCTGGCCTAAATATTGGGTTAAATGGTAGGTATGGTAGAACATAGGGGATTCGGAGTGAGTGCTTAGACTGGTAACTAAATTAAAATTATATATTCAGGAGAGACTGAACTTCATACAGTATTGTGCAGTATATCCTCAAAGAAAGAGAGTAAAGGGGAGGGGGGCATAGCTGAAACCTGAAAGGCAGTGAGTAAGTTTCAGAAGGGCAACTGAGATCAAGAACAAGGTGACATGACCTCAACTAAAGAACTGTTTAAAGCTGAAGGTTTAATCTTCGTATATATTTTAATAAGAACTGCAAATTGTTGTCACATGGCTTCAATCCTCCGAAATGTTCTTTTTTTAAAGCTAATGTGTGATACATAAAAACAAGCATCGGCGTTTCAGCCCAAACGGGCCTTAGTCATGGCTGTCTCCTTGTGCAGTAAGACTGCCTGAAATACCCATTGACAAAGAAAACATTACAATATTTTGCTAGACAAAAAGGTCATCTCTGTATAGTTATTGTAGGGTACTGCACCATGGACATCACCAGCGCTCCTCACACCGCGTGACTGAATGAGTCTAATAAACTTTGAATTGTAAATCCTCAGGGCATTGTATTAGTAATTGGCTTAATTTGTAACCTTAGGGGATCCTTTCAGTTAGTTCTCTGAAAACAATAGACCGATAATGGGCAAACATCCCTTCCTGCCTGAATAATAACTTCACTGATGTCTTTATGACCGCCTCACTCTTCACTCCTTCACCACTTCAATTTTTTAGCGATTGCAGGGATCCCAACCTGAAAAAAAGCAATTTCAGGGAGGTGCCCTTCTCATTTTAGGGATTGCTCGATCGAGCCGAGTAAACCTTTCCGGGAGAAAGTGTTTATCTCCCAGGCGGCCGGGAGAGTTGGGATGTCTGCGATTACAGTATTCCTGTATTAGGCCATGTCAACATTAGATGTGCCCAGCATGTTCACCTTCAAGTGTTCTTTATTTTATTGTTTATCCGATTAACCGATTAATCGAACCTAATAATCGGCTAACTAATCGATTTTGAAAATAATCGTTAGCTGCAGCTCTAATGTAAACCCTAACAATGGACTTCTCTTATTTGCTCTCTTTGGTCTGTTTAGCATAACATCGAAGGCGTTCTGTTAGGTCTGTTCAGTAAGTGCAAAAAAAAAAAATCTGTTAATCCTGCCAGAAATCCAGTCAGCTCCTCACTTCCTGGGCTCTCCACCAGTGCTACCCTGAGTTATCTGGCAGTATTATCAGCCCTACGCAGCTCATCTATATGAAAACAGAGCACCCCCCATGTTATGCAGACAGGGAGAGGTGTAGGTGCCAAAAACTTTTATTTTTAGTTTTGGGTAGACTAGGGAAGGATTAGAGCCCTGTCTTGTTTTAACTGTTATCCGGACTGTGTTAGAGATATTTCACTCGTTTTCTTTCCTACTGAAAACAGATTTACAAGACAGGAAGTGTGGGGGGGGGGGGGGGTATTACAAAAACGTGT